CCATTTTGAATGGCTGCATCTGTACATGGCTTTGGAGAAGTTTGCAACCATGTTTATTTTCTTTATGATGCCACTTTGAAAAAAAATAACTTATTGTAAATAAATCAAATGCTAGGTCAGCTAGAGAGTTGAAAATAAAAAAAATATATATTCTTTTTTGTTTAATATCTGACACTTCCCCAATATGCTCACAGATGCTGCATTGGCTTAGTAACCCATAAAACCCACATAGCATCTTCCTGGCAGCGTCTACTCCACAAGTTTAAACTTCTGTTGAGGTCCTTAGATACTACAATATCTTCACTAAAGCTTATAAAGTAGACTTTTTAATAAGACAGATTTCGACTTTTATTGTAAATTACTACATTACTAGATACGAACAACTGGATTTATTTATCTTCTCTATCATATTTTTATCTTTATATTTGTTCCTCACCTATCTTTTGTTTCCAGATATTTCCAGTTTTCTTATCATCATCATCATCATCATAATTAGATTATTTTTTAGCATTATTATATTTTTCTCAAGTACCTTCTGGTTAGATCTCTATTTCTAATGCATTAGGCTGTGTTCACTGGATTGCTAGATTTTTTACATGTTTTTCAATTATTTAGCATTTATTACATTGTAATCATTTGAATGGACAATGCTTAATGTGTACATGTCACTTTCTGTGATGAAAAAAAGATAAGATACATTAGCATACCGTCAGCACTGTACATGTTCTCAAATTAAACATACTGATTAAAGAAGCTAACTTTCATATAATATAAGGCTGTTACACCAGTTTCATACCCTTATGAAACCAAGGGTAAACCACAGAATACATATTCGAATTGGAAGAAAATTACTGATACAAATGAAAGAAATGCATGACTTACACATTTTCTGGAAATAAATTAATCAAAGAAGAAGCTGACTTGCATATCCTAAGTGTTACAATCAGTTTAACCGACTTCTGAAACCAGGGGTAAAACAAAGCGTAAATAATGGGATTGAGAGAGGAATTAAAAAATATCAACCAAACCAGAAAATTAATAACTACAGTAGAAGAAGATAGATTAACATTTGGATAAATGAGAGTGAATGTATAATACGGTGACAAACACAGTTGAAACACAACAACTACAATCCCTAATGTTTTTGCAGCTTTTGTTCCAGATTTCTTAGATAGTTTTGTAGACGTTTTACTTTCATTCATGGAAATTGTCTGGTCAGTAACAGCACTGATTACTTTAGCATGTCTCCTAGCTACAGCAAAGATTTTTAAATTAAGTGTTATCATTATAGAGGAAGGTACAAAAAATACAATTAGTAGATCCACTGCTGCTGATGTTTCGTCAATTGAAACTGAACACTCTCCAAAGCATGTAAACAGGTTCTGTGAATTTGAAAAATTCCCATTGAAATACACGAGAGCCAAAATGTATATTAGTGATAAAAACCAGTTAAGTGATATCATTGACCATGCTATATTAACCGTTATTTTGTTGGAATACTGTAAAGCGTCACACACAGCAAAATAGCGATCAATAGCTATACACACAACATTATAAATTGAAACCAAAGTTAGGACAGCACAAAATAAGTTATAAAGTAAACATAATGTTTCCCCAAAATACCAACAGGTTTCTATTAATACAGCTATGCGGAAAGGCATTACAGTTAGTCCTACTAGAAAGTCTGCCACAGCCAGTGAGAGCAGGAGGAAGTTAGTTGGCGTGTGGAGCTGCTTGAAGTGAGAGATAGAGATGATCACCACCAGGTTTCCACACACTGTCAGCACCACCACTGCTACTGCAGAAATATACATCACTACATACACAGCTGTAGAACGGACTTCCTTAATACAGGATGAGTTGTAAGACTCGAAACAAAAATGTGCTGCTTGAAGTTCTGTCACTTCCATTGATGTTAAAGTCCGTTAAATAATTTTGTTAAATATTCACATTTCAAATGCAAAAGAAATATCACAAAACCAAAATGTATGCAGCACACATGAATTAAACTAACAAAGAAAACACAAAACAAGCATAGCTTTACTGACTTCAGTATCTGAAAATTTCCTGGTGGTGGAATGACATTTATATCATCAGCAGATTTAATGGTCACACCTGCTGTTAATTAGTCTTAATGATAGCTACAGAATTGTTGTTGTTAAGTAGTCTAGGGAACAGCTTTCACCTGTTGACTGAACTCAGTGGGGGAAAAGTTGATTAAAATAGAGCAAAGTAAATAACATTTTTAAAAGAAATAACATGACTGAGAAATGACATGATTAAAAGAAAATAAGTGATCAAAAGCTGGTGAAAATCAGTAGTCATTACAGTCAAGTATCACTGCATCAAAACATATCCCGACATATTATAGTGTGATATAATCATCATGTAGTGTGATTCATGTAGTCCGGATAAAATTGTTACAAAACAGTTTGGGTAAGAAAAAAAAAACTGCTTAAATAAAGTGTGTAAATATCAATTATGCAAAACAGGATACAAAAATTAGAACAGGATAACAGAACTAAACAGAAACCATAATATAATATGTAGATGCAATCATCTAGAATGTGTGCCAAAACTTGTATTGGCAGTAAGCACACTGCAGTATTCTGCACTCTGTTTATACAAAGCGAATTTAGCACTTTGATGCTGAAAGTAATTTCACAAGAGTCACTTGTGTTTTGCTAGACATTATTGAAACAGTAGCTTTGTTAAATCTATTTTATTTTAAGTCTACAATACACAGATGTAGCCATTCAGAATGTGAAAAAAGCCATTCAGAAAAAAAAAGTGCGCTACTAGCAATAACAATATGGCTGCTCAGAAAGAGATGCATTCAGAGGTTCATTTACTGCTGACTCATTTGTGAGTCGTGACATGATCTATCATCTCTAGCTAAATTGGTTGTAATGCGCAGAGATGAGGATAGGCTGGTAATGTTGGCCTAACAGAAATGGACATGTTCAAAGTGTCACAAGTCCAAACTGATGGTCATACAGACAGCTTGGAGTGCAGTCAATAGTGAGGAATGCCATAGTTTTCAGGAATTAACCTATACATTGCCCTCCAAAAGTATTGCGACAAGATATCAAATGAGCCCGTTATAACTGTATGCTCAGGAAATTTGGATTTCAAATCACAAGATGAATGTGAGACAAAAGCAGAGAATATTCCCTTTTATGCATTGGTTATGCATAAATGCTTTATTTTTATACAACAATGGCACTTTTTTTGTTCAGTTTCGAGTACCACAATCCACAGAAGCCAATAACCATAAGTAACCCACTTCTTCAGTAAACCATGGTGAAGGGAGTATCATGGTTTGCACGTGTATGGCTGCTAAATGGTCTTTATTGATGAGTTAATTAAAGATAGCAGCAGTAGGATGAGTTCATTGATAAACAAGCAGATCTTGTCTGTAAAAGAGAGAAAAAATGGCATCAGACTATTCATTACGCAGCAGGACAATGTCCAAAAACACACTGCATGCTTAACACAGGAGTTCATGGGACAAAAAAAGTGGAGCATTTTAAACTGGCAAAGTCAATCAACAGATCTGAATCCAACTGAGCATGCATTTCATTTGATCAGAAGGAGACTAAGGCAGGAAGCCCCACCAACAAGCAGCAACTTAAAGAGGCTGCAGTTAAAGCCTGGCAAAACATCTGGCAAAGTGAAGCAAAAAGGAGTCTGTTGATGTTAATGGGAGGAAGGCTTGATTCAGTTATTGCAAGAAAGGGATTTGCAATAAAATACTGACCTTTTTACTTCTTTAATTTGCTTTGTCCCAACTTTTGGTCACTTATATTTTGGGGGACAGAACATTTGGTTGAAAAATGATTAAGTGTGTTTGCAAAATAAATCCTAAAAATAAAAGGTGACCTTCGAACTCTAAATAATTTATTTTATGAGAATTTCAATTTCTTATGTATACAACAGGGAAATGCCAATTTTAGGTTTTTGTCCCACTACTTTGAAGGGCACTGTACATTGATATTGAATTATTGACATTGAATTAGTCTTATAGGATGGCAAACACCCTTTTTTATTAGTACACACACTGGGTAACTTAGCAATGATGTGTTTTTCTACTTTAGGCCTTTTGCTCCTGATAGATATATCATGGAAAAAAGAAATGCAACACCTCCTCCTTCACACTCTGGCCCTCCTGTCTGCGTGGAACAGGCTGAAGAGTGACTCGTCTATGAAGGGGACCTGATGCCACTGCTGACGAGTCCATCGCAGCCTCCGTCTGGCCCAAGCCAGTCAGGTGTGAGCAGAGGGCCTCTGACAGGTCACCTTGCTCTAAGGCCAGCAGCATGGAGCCTCACTGTCCTGTCACTGATGAGGGCATTGTGTCTGCTGGCAGTTTCAGCAGCAGTACGGGTGGCAGATCTGAAACAACCTCTCAGATGATGTGCCAGTCCTGCTCTGGTGTGGTCACTGGAGGGCCACTGGATCTTGGACGGTCATCTGTCCTGCTGGTCTGCTGAAACCTTCTCTGCAGTCGGGACACAGTGGAGCGGCTTACTCCATAGTGTCTGGCAGCGCTGGCACATGACAGGCCTGCCTGCAGCATGCCAATAGCCCTCTCCCTTGCTTCTGGTGACATTCGAGGCATTATGGGATGCACAGAAAACTGACTAAGGGTGGCCTTTCTCTTGGAGTGATCTAGGCTTTGAATTAAGACCTTTTTAAAGGTGACCTTATCAGGCTTTGTTCCACCTGGACCTTGTTGGGTAAAAGTGCACCTAACGAGCTTTTGTGTGATTGGCAAGTTGCAATGCCTCACTGCGCAAGCTGTATTCCTGGTCAGGGGGCTTAAAACATATTGACAACTTTTAGTCAAAGTACATAAGCTATAACTGTAGTATTCTCATTCCAGAAAATGTTGTGTTTCTTTTTTCCAACACTATATAAATCCACTGTTCAGATGTCGCAA